CATTGGAGAGAGCTGTTCAGAGGCACAGTAGCCAGTTAGGTGCCTGACTCCCATTGGAATGGCCTGTCATTTGTGCCTTTGAAATCTCCCCCGTAGAAAACCAGACCTTGGGATGAGGAGGGAGGGTCTCAGAGCCCAGGCTTCGGAACAAGTCCAAATGTCTCCACAGCGGTTTTTAGCCCTGCAGGCCCAGTCCAGCTGACCTGGGCTCTGAGAATTGGGTTTATCATCATATTGCAGATGTACTCAAAGAGGCCGTCTCATACGTGGGGACCCCTGGAAAACAAATACATTCCAGCCATTACCTGGATACCTCCACTGGGACAAAGCCCCCTCTTAAAAATCATTCTAGTGATAAAGAGCATCAACTTCCACTTATTTTGCTCTCCCATCATGTCTTTCAGTTGAGGATCCTTTTTGACATGCTGAGGTTAATTGTTGCAAAATGCCTGCATGCTTCTAACATACGTTTCAATCGCAATAATGTGCATGGGAAATTTAGAAAGGAGGTGACTACTATGAGGTACAAAGCTATTTTTGGCTCAGTTTACTCACAAGACATCTCTATAACTGACAGGGCTGACAGGAGCCACATATGGGGAGAACAAGAGGGTACATGCCCCAAACACCATGGGCAATAGGGGCAAGGCGCTAGTCAGCAGCTGGCAGGAACAGAGCCACTGAGTGGCCCAGGAGACTAGCAGTGAGGCCTGGTACCTGCAACAGGGGTCCCCCCTACATGCTGATTGGCAGCAGTAGGGGAAGGGCAGCGACACGGTCCCAGCTCTCTCTGTTATCCTGGCACGTTGCTCAGGGGAAGGGCCACCCCTCGCACTCGCTGAAGGGAAGCAGAGTGACGTGTCTAGGAGAGTAGAGAGAGCTGGGGCTGCGCTGCTCCACTTCCCTTGACATTGCCGGTGAGCACGCAGGGGGAAGACCCCCGCTGCTGGTGTCGGACCTCCGGCCCCATCAGTCCACCAGGCCACATCACTCAGGGCACAGGTTGTCAGAAGAAGTGGAGGGAACAAGGGGAAAATGAAGAGGGTGGAACAGAGGTGTTGTCTGAGGTGGAGAGGAGTTGTTCTGGCCCTTCCCTGGCCTGGGGGAGTGGGGGTCAGTCACATGGGCGGTGCCCCCTCCCCCATATTCCTCCTTGCCAGTCATCTTTGGGTACTGAATAAAAGTGACACAGCAGTGATGATCACAAAATTTTCAACAAATTGTTATTTTCATTGAAAAATGCCAGTTCATCAACCTCAAAACTTTTCATGAAATAGGTTTGGAGCTGACAGATTTTCCTACTCAAAAAAGAGAAGAAAAAAGTTATCACATCAAAAAAGTGTTTAGACATTTTCAAAAGGAAAATGTCAAGCTTTCTAGTTTGAAACAACTTTTTGTATAGAAATTTAAGCTAATGCAACCAAAAAATGTTAAAGAAGAAAAGAATGATGATATCAAAACAAAACATTTTGAATTTATCGATACACATTTCAATTGACTCAAAATGGGGGGAAGTGGTTTTTAATAGGCAATTTTTTTAAATATTTCAATTTTTTATCCTGCCCAGCTCTATGTGAGAGAAGATTTTGTTGATTTGTCCTTAGAAACCTAATGATTCTTCATTTTAATTATGCAGTAAAGTCTGAACTGTCCTTTGGCTTTAGTTTTGAAAAAACAAAATGTAATGAATGAGGTTTTGTAAGAACAATTCACAGCCTTCCTAGCCTATCTTAACTCTGAGCCATGGTAGCATATTGCTTTCTTTCCCTTTTCCTATAAAATAATAATGCCTTTAATACTGGCACTGAAAAGCCAAATTGCATATGTTATAGGCATAAATTGACCATCATTAGGTTAGTATTTCAAATATTAAATTGAACTTTAGCTGTTGTAGTCAATTAGTATTAATTGATTCACTTGTTGACTCATTCTGCTTTGCACATGAAAGTAATCAGAAAATAATTTGACTACCTAGCTGGCAATTAGAGATGTGGAGAACATAAACCAAACACAATTAAAATACTCTAATGTTCAAACTGAATCTTTGATACCTGTGAGTGATTGTTTTAGTTCTTTGGAGTTAAAATTATCTACTAAAATAGAAAATTACCAAATTTAAACATATCCCATTGTTGTTACAGACTATACCTATGACAGGTCATCTGCCCCACACTAGCTTAAGAAGGGTTAAAGAGAGCCCTGGGAGAGGGCTGGAGTTGTGGAGCAAGCCAATTAGGGCCCAGCTGAGAGCTGTACGAATGAGAGCTCCCGCAGGAGAGGAGAGGAGAGGAGAGGAGAGGACTCACTCACGCTTTAGCTATGCCAGGAAAGCTAGAGGCTTCTTGATGCAGAGCGGGACTGGGGAAAAGCAGGCAGGGCTGGGGAGCTCTGGCCACGCGAACTCCCAGGCTGAGGCTTTGCTCTCAAGGCCTGAGAGAATTAGGGCTGCAGGGAGGGAGGCAGAGCAGTGGAAGGCAGCAGGTCCACACCCCTTGTCTATGTAGGGTTGCCAGATGGTTTAACCAAAAATACTGAACACCCCACCCCGCCCCAAAAAAACCCAAACACCAGGGAAAAAATTCTGTCGGGGGGCCAAAGTTGTTGAGTAAATAAAAAAATAAAACAGCATTAAAACAGCATGGCTCTTTCAGTATGTGCAGAATCAGAATTGGGATAGGAACAGGGGAGCGGTTGAGCACTAAGACCCAGAGAAGGCATTGCTTCTCCTTGGTCTTTAGGCTTTTTATCAGTGGCCATTTTGTTTTCTTGATCAAGCCAGAATGCAGCTTCCCTGCGGAACCAGGTAAGCAGGGAGTCCGGGGGCAGGAGTGTCAGGGGAGCAGGAGGAAGGCTGGGGGCTGGGCCCAGTTGCTAAGTGTGTTGTAGGGTTGCCAGGTGTCTGGTATTTTTGCCTCCTGGCAGGAAAAAAAACCCAGAAAATACTGGACATTTTAGGTGTCCGGTATTTTCTGCATTTTTTTTTACCGGACACTTGGCAACCCTATGCCTATGATTAATGGCCACTTCAGACTGCAGTTTGCCCCTGCAGTAGGGGCTAGATGATGACTGGCAGTGGGTCACTGAGGCAAGGGGGTTGAGAGTTTCCTTAGAGGGAGGACCCCAGGCAAGGGGGTTGGGAGTTTCCTTAGAGGGAGGACCCCAGGACACTACTGAGGTAGGGCAGTACCCAGAGGGAAGAGTACTGGAGCCTTGGAGAGATGGTAGCCCTAACACCAAGTGGTGGAGAGAAAAAATGGTAACAGCAGGCAAGACACTGACTGAAAGGAGGTGCTCTAGGGCTGAAATGAGCTAATTCCCAAGTGACCAGCAGGAGGTGCTGTGGGAGTGAGTTGTGCCCTGTAACAATACCTCTGTGTTCACACCAACACATGTACTTTGTAAGGGAACACTTGAAAAATCATGATTTGTTGGTCAGTTTTGTCCTGATGCAACGTGTGGCAACATTATATGTGAAATAAGATTCTCCTGTATGGTGTTATTAGCACTTGTTTAAATCCTACAGCTCTGCCCAAACAGAAATTGGCAAACAGGTCTGTCTTAAATAAGGGAATGTGTGCTCTAGTCAATTTGTGTGTAAGCATTAAACAGAGTTATCAAGCAGGAAAGGAAGACAGGGAGTTCAAACATGTGAGGAAAAAGGCAGCAGGGAATGTCCTTCCTCAAAGCCTTTCTTTCCTATTTGTATCTGGTAATTTTTATCAAGAGAGGGAATGACAGTACAAAAAGGGGGTTAACACTTCAAGGCACCAGTCTCTCCATTCACTGGACCTGAAAAGACAAAGGAGCTATGTGCTGGACTTTGTGGGAGGTGTCCTGATCTGAGAATCTTCCAATGGAGTATGTAGTGATAAACTTTGCTTGTATCTAGTTTAGTTTGTTAAATTAGGCATTGGCAAATGTCTTATCTTTTTCTCTTGTAATCATTTCTGACTATCATGCTTCATTACTTGTACTCACTTAAAATCTATATCTTTGTATTTAATAAAGTTGTTTTACTGTTTCAGATAACCCTTTGTTTTTAAACTCTAGTGTCTGAATAACTATTTGAGCTAATAAGATGTCATTTTACTCCTTTAAGGAATAATGGATTTAAAATATATGTGCCGACCAGAAGAGGGATGGGGAGCATGGGACATACATTGCTGGTGGAAAATCTGAGAATGAAGGTGTGTTGGAGCCAGCTTGCAGAATAAGCCAAGGTTGGCTGACAGGCTGCAGTTACACACACACACACATATGCAGCTTGATTGCTGGAAAGTTGCGAGTGGCCCAGGTGGGAGCTAGTTCAACTTGGCGTGGCAAGGCACCCAAGGGTGCTAGGAAGGGTGACCCAGCCTGCTTCAGGTCTGGATTGTGCCTGGTATGTCAAACATATATGGCATCACTTGGTATGTATCATATAATTTAAATGGTTTAAAGCCTATTCCCACAAGTGTTTCTTCAAACACTATCATCGCAAGTGGTGCCATTGACATAAAAATGTGATTATTCACAGGAATAAGACGTACTTCTGTGAGTTCAAGGAACTCCTTGCCAGAGGACGTGCTGAAGGCTAGGACTTGAACAGGGTTCAAAAAAGAGCTAGATAGATTCATGGAAGTTAAGTCCATCAATTGCTATTAGCCAGGATGGGCACGGATGGTGTCCCTAGCCTGTGTTTGTCTGGAAATGGGTGACAGGGGAGGGTTCACATGAGGATTACCTGCTGTGATCCCTCCCTCTGGGGCATCTGGTATTAGCCACTGTTGGCAGACAGGATACTGGGCTAGATGGACCTTTCATCTGGCCCAGTATGGCCATTCTTATGAGAAAAAAATTATAAGTTTGGACCCTCAAATTATAAAAGTGAAATTCTTATACACACTCACTCTTACCCATTACATCTGCCTCCATCTATTCATGTGTCTGCCTGTTATCACATACATGCATGAAAGAGAACGAACTCCACAGATTGGAAGACGAGCATTGTTTTCACTTACTCAGGTTCTTGTATTGATCCTCCAACACAGTGGAATCTCTCTGGAACAGTCTTCCAGTCTTTCGCCATTTTAACCATTGCTCCTGCATCGAGGACGCCATAGCCAAACAAATGGTTAAATTCCAGACCAACCCCATTTCTACGCCATTGATGGACTTCGTCATGCAGCTGATTCCTTTTGGAGGTGAGTACCGTCAGATGCTGCATGTCTCTCCATGTCAGATCCAGGCTACGGAAGAGTGACGTAGAAAAGGTGATGATTTTATGGTGGTTATAAGATGGTTTTCTCTTTACAGAATACATTTGACAAGACTGATGTATTTGAATACTCAATAAGGCAAATGCACTAAAAAGAGCAGTGTGAGCATTGTGGCTCAGGTTTTAGTTACTTTTAGCCTGCTAGACCAAGTCTGTCTACCGAGACTGCCTACAGTGGCATATGTCCCATAGGTGACTGCCACTAGCAAAAATACCCAATACCCAACTGCTGGAGATGGGACACTAGATGGGGAGGGCTCAGAGTTACTACAAAGAAATCTTTCAGAGATGTCTGGTGGGTCTTGCCTACATGCTCAGAGTCTAACTGCAGGGGTGGCAGGTTTGCAAAAATTTTGGTGGGCCCCAAAATGCCCAGAGCCTGCACCCTTCCCCCATTCAAACTCTCACACCTTCACCATCTGCCTAACACTCTGAAAGAGAGTTTGGGTGCAGGAGAGGTGAGGGATGAAGCTCTGGGAGGGGGATTGGGTGTAGGTGAGGACTTGGGGTACAGGGTCTGGGATGGAATCTGGGTGCTGGATGTGGCCTGAGGCAGGAGGTAGGGGGTTATGAGTGCAGAATCTGGGAGGGAGTTTGATAGCTGGAGAGAGGGTGGTGGAGAAGATGCAGGCTCTGGAGGGAGTGGGATGCACAAGAGGGTATGGGGGGAGTGGATGTGTACTTCCCCTTCTGGCAACAGCCCCTGGTGGTGGTGGGGGGGGTCTCTGGGTGCTTCTGCCCATACACACTCCTCCTTCTCCCTCCCCTCTGCCACCCCATATGTCCCTCTGCCCTGCCTGCTGCCCCCTTGCAAGTTTAAACTAGTGTAAATGGTGGATTCTCTGTCACCTGAAGTCTTTAAATCATGATTTGAGGATGTCAGTCACCCAGCCAGAGGCTATAAGTTTATTTCATGAATGTGTTGGAGAGACTAGATGATCATGCTGACCTTAAATTCTATGAGACTTGGAGGCCAGCTGCAGAGGAGACATAACCTCAATGGTGCTGTGTAGGCAGTTACTCTAGCCATATCTCTGTGTCTGTGAGGGGGTAGGGCGCTGTGTGCTGGCCAGGATTTACACTGTCAGGCTGCATCTACACTGGCATGATTTTGTGCAAATACTTTTAATGGAAAAGTTTTTCCGTTAAAAGTATTTGCGCAAGAGAGCGTCTATACTGGCATGTGCCTTTGCACATGTTTGTGCAAAAGCATCCATGCCAGTGTAGATGCTCTCTTGTGCAAGAAAGCTCCAATGGCCATTTTAGCCATCGGGCTTTCTTGCGCAAGAAATTAACGTTGCTGTCTACACTGGCCCTCTTGCGCAAGAGGGCTTATCCCTGAGTGGGAGCATCAGAATATTTGCGCTAGAACCACTGATTTAGTACATTACAAAGTCAGTGATCTTGCGCAAATATTTGCGGCCAGTGTAGACAGGCGGCAAGATATAGACACAGCCTCAGGGCGCAACTTGTGGCAGAGAAGAGGAAAACTCAACAGGTAAGGGGAGTCCATAGGAGCACAGCCAGAAGTGGGGAGAAAAGAAACTGGAAGCGGGAAACAGCTGAGCCAGTTTGGGAAGAGGACATCAGAGAAAGAGGCAGTGGGGCAAGAGAAGCCATCCAGCCAGAGAAGATGAGGGACACTTAAGCAGGTAGGCAGAGACAAAATAGATGAGGAGGGGAGGAAATATCTATAAAAGGAATCAATATATGCAAATGAGGCCATGCAAATTATATCCACTATGCAAATTAAGGCATTTTTGCATAAACTCATCCAGGTTTCTGCCCTTAGGACTTGATTCACAGCCCTTCAAGTCAAGAGTCTTTCCATTTATTTCAGGACTCTGCATCTGGCTGTGACAGTTTAACAGGTTTGTCCCTGCTCTGAGCTTCCGTGTCACAGGCAAGTTATTGGAAAAACAAACCCCAAACAGCACTCTTTGCCTATACCTAGACCAGAATTTTTCTAACAACCTACTTAGCCTCTAGTGCCAATGCAAACACTCCAGCTGCCTCCGGTGCAGCTGCAGATGTGCCAGAATGACGGAGGGTACAGTTGCCATACAAATCTGTCGTTGCCTGCAACAATACAGAAAGAATGTGTCAGACTTGCTGTTTCCCTCTCCTTTGTATGACTGACACAGAACAGCATTGAAGGCAGTACTCGGTGACTAAAAGGAAGGAGTAATGTTATACAGTAAACTTCCGATAATCCAACCCAGGAGGACCCCAGCTGCTCTGCCCCAGGGGTCCCCGATTCAGCCGCTGCTGAAACAGATCAGCGGCTGATTCCAGGAAGCCCGGGACAGAGCAGCTCTGCCCCGGGCTTCCTCGAATCGGCCTTCCTCGAATCGGCCGCTGATCTGTTTCAGCAGCGGCTGACTTGGGGACCCCTGGGGCAGAGCAGCTGGGGTGCTGCCGGGTAGGTCCCGCAGCCCTGAGGGGCAGCGCTACAAGACCAACCCGGCAGCACCCCAGCTGCTCTGCCCCAGGGGTCCCCGATTCAGCCGCTGCTGAAACAGATCAGCGGCTGATTCCAGGAAGCCCGGGACAGAGCAGCTCTGCCCCGGGCTTCCTCGAATCGGCCTTCCTCGAATCGGCCGCTGATCTGTTTCAGCAGCGGCTGACTTGGGGACCCCTGGGGCAGAGCAGCTGGGGTGCTGCCGGGTAGGTCCCGCAGCCCTGAGGGGCAGCGCTACAAGACCAACCCGGCAGCACCCCAGCTGCTCTGCCCCAGGGGTCCCCGATTCAGCCGCTGCTGAAACAGATCAGCGGCTGATTCCAGGAAGCCCGGGACAGAGCAGCTCTGCCCCGGGCTTCCTCGAATCGGCCTTCCTCGAATCGGCCGCTGATCTGTTTCAGCAGCGGCTGACTTGGGGACCCCTGGGGCAGAGCAGCTGGGGTGCTGCCGGGTAGGTCCCGCAGCCCTGAGGGGCAGCGCTACAAGACCAACCCGGCAGCACCCCAGCTGCTCTGCCCCAGCACTTCCGGGTTCCTGATGGTGCCGGATCATCAGGAGTCCCGGAGCATTGGATGCTGGACTAATGGAGTTTTACTGTACTAGTCGCTACAAGCAGAATACTTACTGCCTTTTCAAAAGGCTAACTTTTAAATAGAATGGATAGATACCCAGGGATGGGAGGGGTGGACACTAGATTAAACAATGACAGTAAGAAGTTAATGTTCATGAACATCTAAATACAATATTACAAATATTATACAATAATACAAATATTATATTTCTATAAATATAATCAAACCCCCATCAACAGGATTTGAACCCAAGACTCTAGCACCATAAGGCTCTTCCAATGCTTAAGTTACAGGAAGAGCTCCAATAGCTGGTAGTAGCAGGATAATATCATCTCTGTGAACTGGCTACTCGAGGAAAATGTGATACACAGTCAGCAAGCAAACTGCACAGTGATAGTCATGTAGGTAATATTGATTAATTTGTGCATTCAACTGACCCCATTGAAAAAAAGTCAGTTTTTCAAGCTGATACCAGAGAGAGGTATCTAAGACAGTACAGTTTGTCGCTACACTCAGAACATGAAATAACTGGAAGATGTGTAGTATCTGTTGACAAACGTTGACCTTTTTATATGGACGCCATCCAAGCCACCATCCAGGTCCCATCAAAGACCATTAAAATAGTGGACCCTCCACCCCCACCACACACTGGCATATTGGGAGGAGCATGCTGTGCCCTTCCAACAGGTTGTGTAGTGGGAGCATTCCCAGTGTGCACCTGGAATTGTGCAGAATTGCTAGGATATGAAGCTTCACATTGCTCTCAACAGGGGCTTGCATCTATCAGGTATAATTTGACACCTGATGTTTCATCTTTGGGGCAGGCACAATCTTTGTTTTGCACAGCACGTCATACAATGGGCTCCTGGTCCATGACTTGGGCACCTAACCATTACTACAATGCTAATAAATAATAAATTAATAAATCACTGGGGAATTAAATGATGGGAATTTGTGATACAAATGTCAGGGTTGTTTATTTAGAGTTTTATATCCATCCATTAAAAAGGCGCTTTAAGCCTTTGCCCAAGAGGCTTCTTGTGCTATTAAACAACCAAGCATCTGTAACCACACATTTCTGTAACCACACTCCTAAACTAGAAAAACACTAAGCAGATTGACAGGGAGCAAGAATATGCAAAAGCCACTCAGGAAGCTCAACAATATTCTATATTTTACTACTAATTTTCCCTCAACTTGTTTTGTTATCATCATTAATCTGCCAAACATACACTGGGTTACAGATGAATTGGCAATGACTATATTAGCCTAAAATATGTTGCAAAAGGTGGTGTTGTGTTGCGCTGGGATTTCAACTCTTCATTATCATGCAATTACATAAAGCAAGTCTGCCTGGGAATTAAAAATTCCGAGGACACAGGAATAAATAGGCCCCTGCTGCACTTTCCAAATTGTAGTCTGATCACTAGGGAACACCACCTACATGAAAAGCCACAAAGCAGAGAAGCTCATGGCTTGCTTTCAATATCGACATCCCATCTCATCAGCTGACAGTTTGGGCACTGCTGTGTATTGTGAATTAGAAAATATTAGTCTTAACAAAAGAACATCTGCTGCTCCTAAACAGCAAATGATGAGAACAGACGTGCGTAAGCGTAAGGAGCAGGACAACAGCACAATAATATCTGCACTCACCACACCAGCCTCAGGATTTCTCTTCCTCCCATTGCTGAAAGTGGAAGCCAAGGTCGAAGAGCAGCTTTCATCATACAGAGCAGTCCGGCCATCATTAATGGCAGAATTGATGGAGATAGTCCACATGCTTGATGCATAGCCATCACAGTTACAATCATCGTAGCTGCCTCCATCTCCAGAGGCCCAGACGTAGATGCTTCCCTTGCCGCCACGGCCCTGTGGAAAAGAAATTGAATCTGTCAGGTTAAATTATTAATTCAAACCTGAAGCAAGGCATCCATCTGTCAAGGAGAAAACAGGCCCTAGATAAGTGTGCATCAAGAGCTGCTGCAGACTTTAAAAGTCCAGTTAACCGTTAATCACAGCCTCTTCTGCGCTCTTTTCTGTGCATAGCGTTCTCATTTATCAATTTGTTTGCTTGGCACACCAAGGCTCCTGTGCTAAGACATTTTATGGATTCATTAGAACCTGGCATTGATACCAGGCACTAAGCACAATGGGAGAAGTGTTTTGTTAAAATTGATATTTTGTTCGCCTCATTGACTGGGTTTGTAAGGTCCGACGGTGACTAGAAAACCCTGCAAAACTGTCACCACTTTCTTTGCTCAATAGATTGGCTCCCTGGCTGTTTTTACTCATTTCTATTTGTTTTACTGATCAGACTAGTCTGAATTACTGTTAGTGCTGTACAACCAATACTGCTGAGACTGAATCAAAGTACCTCCCGATGTCCCTTCTGGAGCTGGAGTTGGATGGAGAGATCTAAGCCAAGAAGGAGGCGTAATGGATAGAACCTTCTCAGTCGCTAAAGCAAGGCTCTCAAACCTTATGGCCTGAGGGCCATGAATGTTCATTAAATTGAGATTTGGTTGTGGAGGGGATGAGGACTTCAGCCAAGAGTGGGGTGGGGCAAGAAATTAGGAGTTCAGGATTTGGGAGGGGGCTGTGGGTTAGGGCA